ATCTAGTTTCATTTTTTTGCATGTAGCTTCCCAGTTTTCCCAGCACCACTTGCTGAACAAATTTTCTTTGTTCCATTGTATCTTCTTTGCTCCTTTGTGTTGACAATATTTTTATCTGTCAAACAGAAAGGTTCCCAGAATACCAGAAATGTTGTCAGATCAGCACCTCAGTAGAGGGAACAAGTGGCTAACATAGATAATTCGAGGGCTTCAGAATCTTGGGAATCAAAAGGTTAAAGCCTCCAGCTGTTAACTCACAGAAATCAGGATTTACTAAGAACTGCATTTGACTAACTCTTTAAAAGCAGGTCTAGTCCCCATCTGATTCACTCATGGAAGATAGTGTCTCTGAGTAAGCACCCTCCCCCATTTGATTTACTCCGAGACAAGGTATGTCTTAACAACTGTATATTATATTTTAGTTTTTCTAGATAACCAGATTCCAACCACCCCTAATTAGTTGGAGCCATCTGACAATGTGTAAAAAAAGATGGAGCATGCCCAGTGATTTTCTGACCCTAAATTCACAGCAACTTCCTTATAACACTAAAATCTACACCTAGAGGAGGAGTAGGGCCACCGTAGTCTGCACATGAGACATGTGGAAGCATGACCCCATCTGAGCATGCTTAGATGACCAGATGGTGATCGCAAGTACCCAATCAATATTCAAATATCCAGTCACCAAGAGCTTATTTCTCTCCTTTCTGCCCCTTAACTCCTTAAAAGGCAGTCCTAGGGGGACTGAGGAGGCAGCCTATAAATCAATTACTTTCCTTGTCTCTGGTATCTGCGGATAATAAATTTCTCTTTCTCTAACATGACTTGGATTGGTTTATGTGGGCACATGTAAGCCATAAGCCAGTTGAACTTGTGTATTTTGTGTTTCATATATCCTTAATTGTAAGCTGATATAGAGAAAAAGAATTAACTTTTTACCTGGTTAATGAAAAATGCTTAATAAACTAATTTGTAGACTTTCTGGTTTCTAGTAGTCCCTTTGTCTCCTATTCTGTTAGCCAAATGCATCACATGTTAGGAAAATGTATGTTTTTCATAGGTGACTGATTACAGAGGGCTTTTTTTTTTAATATCGGTTTACAACACTTTATATAATTTAAGAGGCTAGCTTCACACCTCTTCAGATGTATGTTACCATATCAGACCTCCTACCAAAGTATCCACAGACCACCATGCTCACAGAGGGCTACTTCTGTTGGATTAAGCATGAAAAAGGAATAATTGACAATACCATATCTAGACTCCCACACAATAACATCATAATAATAAGGGCAAAGAAAGTGATCAGAAATCCAGATTTCTGCTTTTAGCATTGGTACCTGAGTAATTTGGTAAAAGCAGTGAACAGTGTCTAAACACAAAGTGGCCATTTGCATTTCACTGGTATAAACTTGTAATCAACATGTAAAGCAAAGTTAAAAATTACTTAACCACCGACATAATCATAGGGGTTTCAAATTTTTAAAAAACTCTTATTTATGGGTGAAACTAATAGAGATACCTTTTGGTTTAATGTATTGGATTTTTTCATTTTTATAGAGAGAAGACTCAAAGTCTAAAGTTCATTATCACAGCCACAGTTGTATAATCACTACTATTTAGTCAGTTTAGTGAAACTGATTATTGTTGTTGTTAAATATTTACAAGGGTAAATATTAATTTTAATTTATCGGTTTTAAAAAATAATGTATCCTCATGTCTAGGAGCATATGTTTTACAATTTAGTCAAATCTGGATTTGAATCCCAGTTATTTCACATAAGGAGTGGGTAACTTTGGGCTGGGTAATTAATCTGAGTATCAGATTTTTCTCAACCTATTTAGATGTTGAAATGCTTATGGTGGATAATGTAAGTACCTAATATAGTATTTGTCAAGCAGCAGGCACACAGTGGGTACTTGCTCTTATCATTTTCATTACCAGTTTTTTAAAGGTTTAATACAACTTACATTTGCACCTTGTCTTGTTTTGCAGAAAGCACGTCAGAGCTACTCTTAATACCATCTTTTGAGGATATAAATGAAACAGGGGACATTCAAAATAGATGCTTAAGGAAAAGGCATAAAAGTGACAGTGAACCGAATTTGCAACCACAAATGACCTGGGGAAATAGAAACCGCAATCTTAGTGGCGGAGTAGTGATGGGACTTATGCTGAATAGAATTAACCACGAAGCAAACCCTGGGGAGATGGTAGAAAAATTAGGAGCTGATGCAAAAATTCTTTCAAATGTGATCACAAGAAACACAAGGCCAAGTAGTCTTGATATTGGAAAACCACCTTTAAGATCAAAAAGAGATAGCCTGGAAAAGGAATCTAGTGACGATGACACACCTTTTGATGGCTCAAACTGTTTGGCAGACAAGGTGGATTCTCCTGTTATTTTTGACTTAGAAGACTTAGATAATGAAACAGATGGACCAAAAGTGGGATATGCTGCTACACAAAATTCCAAAAGGATTCAGCGTGTGAATAGCAGCTTTTCAGTAAAACCTTTTGAAAAAACTGATGTTGCAACAGGATTTGATCCCCTCTCTCTTTTGGTTGCCGAGACTGAACAGCAGCAAAAAGAGGAGGAGGAAGAAGATGAAGATGATAACAAAAGCATTTCAACGCCATCTGCTAGGCGGGATTTAGCTGAAGAAATTGTGATGTATATGAATAACATGAGCAGTCCTTTGACAAGTCGCACACCAAGTGTTGATTTACAGCGGGCATGTGATGATAAATTGGTCAATAAGAAAAGTCCACCGTTGGTCAAGGCATGCAGAAGGTCTAGCCTACCTCCTAATTCTCCTAGACCAGCAAGACTTACCAAATCTAAAAGCTATACAAAAAGTGAGGACCGACCCAGGGATAGACTTTGGTCTTCTCCAGCATTCTCACCTACTTGCCCATTTAGGGAAGAATCTCAAAATGCACTAACCCATTCATCACCTTCATTTAACTTAGATACACTACTCGTACCTAAACTAGATGTTCTAAGGAACAGTATGTTCACTGCTGGGAAAGGAGTTGCAGAAAAAGCAAGCAAATGGTATTCGAGATTCACCATGTATACTACATCATCTAAGGTAATTTTCTTTCGTATTTTATACTTTTTCTTTCACTCTCCTCTACCACCAAAGTCTCTTAACATGCAGGGCTATCTGTTTTTACCATTCTCCTTAAACCCCAGGTTTGTAAGTCTCAAAGTTGAATAATAACTTCAAAAGAAAAAGAATTCACTAAAATTATGTTATCATTCCATTTATAGAAGGGGTTAGAATCAGTGTTATATGAAAATGCTTGTAGAGCTTCATTATTTCCTTCAAAATGCATGGGGTTTTTGTTTGTTTATTTCATTTTTGTTTTCCAGAAACCGTGTAGCATGATTTCCAAGGCACAGGGTCTCTCTTTCTGGTTAGGATGATTTAGCTTCAAATAGATCTATACACCTCCCAAAAACAAAAGCTAAAGGAGTATATAAGACATCCGTTTAAAGTCATGAGAGACCGAAAGACAATACAAAGGGAAAAGATTCTAGAAAGATAATTGAAGTTCAGTAGCTACTTTTCACAAAGGCAGTTATTCTGAGCACATGGCAGGAGGTTGCAGATCTAGGCTTTACCTTACCAGAGACATAGAGAGGTGAGGGGACTATAAGAACTTTTGGGATTTGTACAGCTGAAGAGACAAAGATACTTGAAGGTCCTCAAAAACACCTGTTTTCCCTTATATACGCAAGTTTTGTCCTTCAAGAAATTTTCCAAATACTGGTAACTGTAAATCAGGAAGCTAAAAAAGTAGGGCAGAAATCTCTGACAAATAAGAGGCCTCACCTGTTCTGTGGTGGAATAACTAAAGTTTATGAACTGCTGGAAGAAGAGAGGGAGAAGAAGGGAGAGCCACTGCAATCTGGCCCTTAATCACAAGTCCTGCAGTGTATCTCTTAGGAGCACTGGCAAACCAAAGGTAGACCAAACTGCAATTTAAGATTAACTTAGGTCTCTCTGTGTTTAATTACAATAATCCACCTTTATCTCACAAAGAATGCCCCTCTCTGGGGAAAAAGAACATTATCTGGAGCCTATACATGTGTGTGTGTGTGTGTGTGTGTGTGTGTGTGTGTGTATCTCATTCAGGTAAAAATAGCTATGCCAAGAGATAGGAACATAACTAAAAAACAAGAAAGGTACATGTTGTTGACAGGCCTTCAGGTGATCTAAATATTTAGAATATTGAGGCACTTTGAAGTAAGTATAATATGTTCAAGAAAATAGAGGAAAAAGTGAAAAAGAAAAACTGCAACAGTGGAAAAATTCACCAAGTAATTACCTACTGAAAAAAGTATAAATCATAAAAAGGAAAAAAATTAAAAATACAGTGGTTTTAATAATAGACAAAACAGGGCCCTCCCTGGTGGCGCAGCGGGTTAAAGCACAGCACTAAGAAGCTTAAGCCACTTCCTCATGAGTTCGATTCCCGCCTGCCCCGGGAGGTGACCACATGGCGTGGCAGACCTCTCCTGACCCGCACGCTGCTCCCCTCAGCAGTGTACTTCTTCGATCTTCCTATTCTGCTCCCCACTCTGTCTCTGGTGAATCCTCTCACCCATCGCATCTCTGGCCTATACCCCAGTTCTATATGAATAAATAAATCTTTAAAAAATGCTAGTAACCAAGAATTTTCCAAAAGTGACTCAGAATGTCAACTCACATATTTAATATCAAGTAGAATAATTACAAAGAAAGCTGTACTTAGGTATGTGATAATGAAATAGTAAAGGTTAAAACTCAAAGAGTAACTCCTAAAAGAAGTGAGAGATAAAGAAATTTATTACGTTTAAAGGAGCGACAGTAAGAAACAGTTGTCTTATAGACAGAAATTATGTCAGAAGGCATTGGATATACATTTAAACTGCTGAAACAAAATGACCAAATAATTTTTTTTATACTTAGCAAAAATTCACTTTAAAAATTAGGATGAGAGTTCTAATTCCACTGTGGTCACATAAGGGTAGTTCTGTCTATACTTCCCAATGAGTACAACTAAAAACTCCAGATAACATATGAAAAACAACTAAGATTTTAGACAGTAAGAGTAGGCAGATTTAGGGACCCACACAGTGATAAACTTACCATTTTATTTTCTCATAGATCTTTACTCCAAAAGTAATGGGACATGGCAAGCTTAGCAGCCTAAATTTTAAGGCCAATCCCATTTCTCCTGGGCAGAGGAAGTAGAAAAAGGAAATACTTTAAAGAGTTTGGGGATATCAATGAAGGTGATTCCCTAATTTTTTGAAGGAGCCCACATAAGTTTCAGCCTAACCTTTGATACCCATGCATGGACTAGATGCACATCAGCATAGATAGTATTAGAGGACTGAGTTGAGTATTAAATCACCATCTACAAAAATTGAAACAAATTATAATATGAATATCACTCAGTTGATTGTCTACTAAAACAAAAACACCACTGTTCTCCAAGAGGTTATACTAATATCTTGGTTATATCAGTCACATAGTACATAACATTCACAAAATCCAAATTTAAATCCAGAATTACTTGACATATAAATAACCCAAAAAATGCAACCAGTTCTCAAGGGAAAAACTGAGATGACTCATTGAAATTATCAGACAGAAACTTAAGCATCCTAAGTTTAGGTTCCTGAGATAAAGAAAAACACAAACTAAAAGGAATTTTTAGCAAAAAGTAAATTATTTAAAAAAACAAATTTTATTACTAAAAAATACATTCTGAAATAAGCTCATTTGCTGGTTTCAGTAGCAGAGTGGCAATCATGAAGTCAATGAATTTAAAGATCAGTAATGGAAAAATAATGAAGGAGAAAGAAAAAACTTCATTAAAATGAGCAAAGACTCAGGGACTTCTGGCACAATATCAGGAGGTATAACAAAATTGACTTCCAGAAGTACAAGAAAAAAAGGTTATGATAAAAAAAGTATTTGAAGAAATAAAAGCTGAAAATCCCAAATTGGTAGGTTTAGATTTATAAATTTAAGAGACGCAGTAAACGTAAAGAGGATAAACTCAAAACTATACCTACCCACACATACATCAAACTACTAAAAAGCAAAGATATTATCTGATAATAAAATGACTAATGAATAAACAACATCTTTAAAAACTGTTAAAATGAAAAATGACATATTACCTAGAGAGAAATAGGGAGTACAGAGAATAACCAGGTATTTTTTCACTTATTCTGTGAGGAGAACAACACCTTTAATGTATTGAAAGAAAAGAGCTGTCAGCCCAGAATCTATATCCAGTGAAAATAATCTTAAGGGGTAAAAGTAAAATAAAGGCTTTCAGATAAAAGAAAAAAAAATTCATGGCTAGCAGACTCACTCTATAAGATACACTAAAGGAAATATTTTAGGCTGAAGAACAATGATAAAGAAATCTGATACCTTCAAGAATGAAAGAATTAAATAGCTGGCTAATATTTTAAAAAGTACATTTTTAAACCTCTTAAATTACTTCTAATTGCCCCCAAACAAAAGTTTGCATACAACAGTGGAACATTATTTTCAGTATTATATAGATTCTTATTATGGTGAGGAGACCCACGCCACTGCTGTTCATAGTGTTATTATATGTGAAGTGGTACAATACCAACTTTGACTGGAAGTGATTAGATATGTATTTTGTAAGCCCTAGAGCCCCCCACTTAAAAGTACTAGATGTAACCAAAAGGCCAATAAAATAATTCAGATACTAAAATAACTCAATACATCTGCCTGACTTTAAAAAAATAAATTTTACTATCTGTGAATTTTTTCTTCATACAAAAATTTATATTTACCATATTTTCTTATCTATGTTGGTATAAGCAGGAAAAAATAACTTATACTTCGGTGTTCTCAGAAATGAAGACTAGAAATATATGTCTTTAATACCTGGAATATAGTGGGAAAGAACAAAACGTAAACATAAATTTTTTTTAAAAGAATAACATGCAATTCTATGGTTTCATCCTGGAATCCTGGAATTTGCAGGGAGGGAAATTAAAAATATTTACAGTTAGCAACATTATCTTATTAATTAGTTATTTACTTTGATCTAACTTTACAAAAGCTATCTCAAAAGTTGATCTACAAAATGTTTGTACAAATTAGTATGCCCTCATAAAATTAGTTGGTTTTTCCCTCTGCAATGTTGAATGTTAGTTATTTGGTCTGAGTGGTTAGGTATTTCCTCTACCTTAGATTTTTTTAAATTAACTTTAAATATGAAGGGAATTAAGTTTATACTTATGTCCTTAGGATCAAAGTTCTGATCGTACCAGTCTTTCTTCAGTGGGAGCCCAGGACTCTGAATCTACCTCTTTAACAGATGAAGATATCTGTCATGAGTTGGAAGGAGCTGCTTCTTCCCAGGAGAGCAATGCCACTTCAGGAGCTAAGGGAGCTGACTTCAGCAGAACAAGCCTAGAAAGTTCTGCCTCTTTAGAAGGTTTGTGCAAACAGTTCTGCCATACTGCCTGTGATTTGTGGTACCTTTATTTATTTTCCCTTTTATTTTAATTTTGTAGAAGTTTTGTATGACTCCAGAGTCAAAGCATTAAGAACCAAGATACTTTCAGAGAGGTCTTACTTCTAGTCCCAACCCTCATCTTGTTTTCTCCCTATCCTAGGGTAACCATTTTTACTCCATTGTTGCTTTTTTTTTTTTT